ATTATAAATGATAATATATAATATTACATTATCATTATAAATTTATAATTATATATAATATTATGAATATATCATTTATGTATAAGATAAGTTCATGCTCTCAGAAAGTGTTGCTTGTCTGTTGCAAAATCATCTTGTTGAGAATTTAGTTTTTGTTTAATAAAGTCTTGGGTATTTGGTTGGCTAAATCACTCATTTTTCAAAATTATATTGCTAGACAAAGCATCCCAAAAGTGGAATTTTTCAGAAATTTTATAAAAATTTAAAAAAAAAATTCATTCCGCACCAGTAAATTGCGAAGTACAGAGACACTTGGCCCCAAATGAAGTGCATGTCCCCAACATTACTCTTAGTTCCATCAATTAAACGTGCAATAGTGCTATCTTAAGATAAAAAGACAGTAATTTCTGGGCAACTTCTTTCTTTTTTTGTTTTTTCTTTGAACAATATTACATGGGGCGGGCTCGAACCCTACCCAAAAGAAAGGAGGAGATGCATTTCAAGGTGGTCGGAAACCACTTGACCCAAAGGACCAGATACGGGGTAACTTCTTTCTAAAAGCTACAACCAAATAAGTAAAAAATCCTAATGATCATGGTTAACTTGCTCCCACTGTTCATGCTTATGATCAGGCAGAAAATTGTTAGGACTATATAAAAATAATATAAATATATTTAATTTAATTATTAGAAGCTATTGATAATTATAATTATTAGTTAATAATAAATAAAATAATTAATAATTATTATTTAGTAATTAAAATTAATTTATAAATTTATATTTTTACACACTTTAATAATTATAAATTAACAACATAAAATAAATTAAATATGTGTACAGTATTTTAGTGGCCACATCAATTTTTTGTGTAACCACAACATGGCCCGTTCCCACCATCCCATTTTCTACAACCTAGCTCTGCTCTCCATGACTTTTAACTTCGTTTTACCCCAATTCACTTTGGGTGCCGGCGAAAACAAAGGGCTGCAAACTAGAAGCCAACAAGCCACCCATCTCGTTGCTTGATTGTATTCCTGGTGTGTTGCCATGAAGCTCAAGCAGCCAAAAACCCAACTGATGTAGAAAAAAAATACTCTATAAATATTATAATTATAATAGTAAAATAAAAATATTATAATTACAAATTTACAATATCATATAATATTATAAATTTATAATATGATATATCATTATATAATTAATTTTATTTATTTAAGAATTCACCTGTATTTTATATAGATTTACTTATTCAGTGTTACATTGTATTTTATTTAATATTATATAGAATTATAAATTTACAATTTTATGTAATATTATAATTATAATATTATTGAATGATAAAACTATTAAAAAATCTAGCAAGTATTTTGTAAATGTACCAAAAATGCTAAAAGGTTAAGAGTTTGTTTATCCGTGCTTCACATAAATCTTTTTTACATAATATCTCTTTTAAATATATAAATTTTTAATTTTTAATTAAGTTTAATTACTTTTTAATATATTCTTAATTAACATTTTATATATTTTTAAAATAAATAAAAAATATAAAAAACCTATAACTATAACACAATACAATACAAATAAATTAATTTATTTCAGTATTAAGTAGAAAATTTATGACTAATGATAAAAAATAAAAAATAAAAAATAAAAAATAAAAACACTCCTTATTTACCCTGCGAGAAAAAACCTCCTTCGTATTTTTTACCTCAGTACAATTCTTTTTCTTTTTGTACATCTTAAAGTAAACTACTTGGCAAGAGGTTAGTCTAAATTAAAAGTTTTAAATTAGTATGTAGTAATTCAGTTAAATTTTTATTAATTTTATTCTCATACAACACTTCCTTGATTATTAAAATACGGTCTCAAACCAAACACGCCCTTTATTTTTTGAGCAATCCACTCTTTTCTTCCCTAAGTCCCCTCCCCCCTCTCAATTTTCTACAGAACCCATTCTTATTTGTTTCTTTCCTTATCCGGGCTCGAAACAGGTTTTCATTTTGGAGAATCAGACTGTAATCAGGTTCACATTTTGGTAGCTATAAGTTAAATTTTTTTTCTTCATTGTACTTAGTAAATCGGTGTTTAATCAAATCCCTTGAATTAACAATCGCACTTGTTCTTCTTCTGCAGGTGAAATTTGGGTGCTTTTCTACAATTCAATCCCTTGAATTGTAGTTCCATGGCAACCCCATCAATAAAATCTGGGCAATTGGTCACTTTACAAGACCTTCATCCTTCTTCTTCCTTTTTTGAGGAAGGGGCTTCACTCCGGGTAACTGGAAAGTAAGAAATCTCTTCCAAAGTTTCAGCTTCCTTCTCTTGATATGCATTTGTTATGCTTTAGAGGCAGTCCCCCACACCACCCCCACCCCCCCCACCCCCTTTAAAAAAAAAAATTCACTGTACGAATATAACAAGGATATCCATTTCTTATATTGAAATTTGATTGGTGTTGATGTTAATGTTAATATGCTGATGGTATTGGTGGAAACTGCTAACATGCATTAATGGGTGTGGTTGATGATGGTCAAGTGGTTAAGCCTGTGATGAAGTGAGGTGGGATTGATTGTGATTTAAGTAGATGATAATAGTGACAGAGAGAGTCTGAGATTGGACTGGTGGTACAAGCATTGGTGGTGAAGATACCCAGCTCACGTACCGCTTTAATGGGCGAACAGCCCAACCCTTGGAACATCCTACAGCCCCAGGTGGCGAAGAGCCGACATCGAGGTGCCAAACCTTCCCGTCGATGTGAGCTCTTGGGGAAGATCAGCCTGTTATCCCTAGAGTAACTTTTATCCGTTGAGCGGTTTTTTTCTGTCATTTTGGTTGTGTAGAGGTGGGATGGTGATGAGGTATTAACAATTTAGGGATGTGGGTGAGGGCGTGAAGTGGCAGCATTGGCATTACAGGAACTCATCATAAAATTGGCTTGTGATGCTGGAAGTGGAGGTGGTGACAATGCTATGGGGCAAATTGAATGATGATAATAAATTAGGCAGGGTGATGCTTGTAGAAAGATGTGGGTCGCAATATAAGAGTTGGTCCAAAGGGGAAAATGAACAAACTATTTTCTTTTAATATTTGTAATGTTTTCCAAGGTTAGGATTTGATTTTTTTTTTTTTTGAAATCTTTTGACTAAGTTGCAATCCTCTTCTTGTGAAAATGGCAATTTTTTGAGAGTAATATTAAAGAATGCACAATTAGTTGGCAGCAGTTAGCCCTGGCTTCCCTTCAATTTCTAATTACTCTCTTTTCTTTATTAATCTCCTTTGTGGCTTTGTTTATCCTTGAAATTCCAAAACTCAGTTTAAATGAGTAAACCAGATATAGATCCCCATTTATTCGCCAGCTTGCTTTCCAATCTATCACTAATGTTGCCCCTGTCAAGCCCTAACCTTAAACCCCTCAATTCTCATGCCAGAAATTTAAGACTTTAAGGGCAATGCTGCATTAATATAAGTAGATAACTCATCATGGGTGTCCGAAGATTCTAAAGAGCCTAGTGTGTTTGGATTAGTGTATGTGTAGTAACTAATTCTACACTGTGATGATTCTTGGCCTAAAGGTTTGTATTTGTTTTGCTTATTCTGGGGATGAAATCTTACATTTAGGTGCTAAAGGGAAAGAAGTAATATGAAGGATCATGTTTGCAATTTTCTGGATAGTGATAACTCTGAAGTAAAGCTCTTATCCAACCAGGGAGAAATATTTCCACTTTAGGCGGTGACAATTTGAGGTGTTAACATTATATGATTTCATTTTTTTAGTTTTATGTATGGTCTGGATGCTATTTGTTGGAAACCTGTCAACAATTTTAAATGTTTACATAATAATGTCTTACCCAACTATGTATTAATTGTTCTTGTGCTGGTCTGAGCTGCTGAATGTTGGGGGAAAGTTTTCATTTAAGAACTTTAATGTCTTATATATGCTCTAGGCTACAAGAGTATACTGTAGAGACTGCCATAGCTGTAATTGCTGATGGGGGTGCCACCCTGAAAATAGATGCACAGCACTTGAGGGACCTTAGCTTCCGAGCTGGTTCCATCTACCAGTTCATTGGTGAACTCCATATTCAACCTGACAACGAGGTTTGTTGTTTTAAAAATTCAGGTTGTTACCTTTATCTCACTGCAAATTCCTTAAGTTAATACGTTATGTCATTACGTTCTATTTCAGACTGTCTTGCAGGCTCGTGTTGGTAGAAATGTTGATGGTATCGATCTCAATCTCTATCATCAGTCACTGCAGCTATTAAGACAGTTCCAAGCTGAGCAAATGAAAAATCCAACCACTTAATGCTGTTGGGTTATCTCTGGAGAACTGTAACTCATATCCTTATGGATTGAGAACGAATTTTCCTTTCTTTAATGCTTTTAGCTGAAGCTCTTTTGGAGTCAATCGCTTCTTCAACGGATATTGAACAATGTACTCGAAAAATTTTGCTCAAGGTGATAGTGGTGTTTTTGACCTCCCATAAACAAAAAATGGGTGTTGAGTGCCTTCTATCCCTTTGGTTCAAAATCTGGGAATACTCTCACTTTTGGACTAGTACGGTATCCGGAAAGTTGCCTAAAGCGATGTGTTTAGCGCGGTAAATGAGCCTAGTGGAGTAGTAGAATACACAAGCTTGAGCTAAACTCAATAACAAGCTCAAACATGAGCTTGAATTTTATCAAACTTAGAAAAATGAAGCTCTAATTCGGCTCATTTAGAGAAAAGTAAAGCTTGAATTTTATGAGTAGCTCGCAAGCCTAACATACTGGCTTGAATTCCAGCATGATTATATGAATTGAGCTCATGCTCAAGCCAAATTTAAATCAAGTTGCTCGGTTCATTTACAATCCTATATGTTTTTAGGTATTTTCTCCTCTTTTCAACTTTCTAGAATAAAAAATGCTACCACCATTGCTATTTTATCTTCTTCTTCTGCTTCCTCTTCTTCTTTCTTCTTCTTTTTGGGGGTAGAAGCCGGAGTGAGTTTCTCAATGTTTCTCAATCAGCTAAACCCAAGAAGCCAGAAGGGTCAGTTCATTTGTCACACAAGGTAAAATGGACTTCTTTCTGATTCTAACCATGGGGCCGCTACTCGATACACCTTAATTGGGCTTCATAATTTTCACAGAGTCTCGTTGTTTTGTTTCCATGGGTTGTGACTGCAAGCTGTCTCCTCTCTCGTACATATATATATATATATATATAGAGCGGTGAGCAGGTACATGTGTTTTGTTTTATGTTCGGTACCTAACTCTATGGGTAAATATATACCAGACACGTGTAACTGTACACATTAAATGTAAATATATATTTTTTATATTAATTTTTTAATATTTAATAAT